TATAATTAAATTTTCTCTATTGAGGCTTCTGTCACCAGCTGAGACAGAATTATTTTTTGGGTTAAACTGAAAGATTGCAATCAGCACTATTCATTAAGTTTTCCTTCCATTATATCATAGAGAGTGAGTCCCTGGCAGTTTAACKACTAGTTTTGAATTGTACTGTATTTATTGATAGATTTTAGGCATGCGGCAGTGAAAATAATCGAGTTGACTACGAATTAAGTTGATGAATTTCTTCTTTTTCATTAATGACAAGCTTAAAACTTTGATTAGACATTTTTAATTCGTTTTATGGCACAACTCTCATCGCTGATTGATTTGGTAAACTTCACCCACCGATTATTTCTAAGAATTCACTCGTGAAATGAAAATACAACAAATGAAACTCCCGGGTGGTTTGAATTGGTTGGAAACGTTTATAGCAACGCGTAAGCCGATTAGGTCTATTAAAGGGTTATTATCATAACATTTTTACCATGGCAACATTTTATTTTTGTGTTACAATGTAATCACACTTTACAAGAAGTGCATGAATACAGAAAAATTGCATCTTGATAGACGCTATAAATACTGTGAATATTTCAGAATTTCGACAAATGCTTTTCTCTCACGCGGAAGAGAAAAGAGAATTTGCGAGATGAATAAGTGCCAGGGCAAGCTCTACGCTGATATAATAAGTATGTTGTTGCAGCTGGTAGTTAGTGCTAGCGGTGAAAGTTGTTTTTATTTATCTTATGTAAACATTCGTATGTGGATTGACGACATCTTTCTTGTGATTGGCTTCACTCAGACCACATGGATCGTGCACCGGCCAATGGGGTAAGTGAGAATCACTTTTCTCAAAGTAATACATAGGTTTACCAGTAGTTTTTCCAAGTAAAGCCTGACCATGATTTTTACCTTTGAATTCTCCAGGTACCTCCTTACACTCTGGCTTATCCGTGACAATTTGTTTGATAAATCTACAATCTAGTGTCCCTTCAGTTTTAGTTACAAGATTTCCACCTTTAGGAAGACAAGCAACCCAGTTATTGATATTTGACTTGACCAGGAATTCGCTGCCAATTGTTTTCCAGATATTGAAGTCAATGGCGTTCATGTCTGTTTCATTCTGAGGCGGGGTGTCAGAAATAACTGGACCATTTACAAAGTTTTTTGGCGTAGGTTTTATGTAATTGTTGGGGTCTTTAAAAGTACTATACGTGTTGAAATGAAAGGACCAGACCAGTGTCCAGCCTCCTCCGTCTGTTTCCATATCACAATAGCCGAGGAATGGCNGCTTAAATGACTTTGATTAGGCATTTTTAATTCGCTTTATGGCACAACTCTAGATCATCGCTGATTGATTTGGTAAACTTCACCCATTGATTATTTCTAAGAATTCACCTGTGAAATGAAAATACAACAATCGAAACTACTCCCAGGTGATTTGAACTGGTTGGAAACTTTTATAGCAACTCGTAAGCCGATTAGGTCTATTAAAGGATTATTATCATAAACACTGTTACCATGGCAACATTTTATTTTTGTGTTAATCACACTTTACAAGAAGTGCATGAATACAGAAAAATGCATCTTTGATAGACGCTATAAATACTGTGAATATTTCAGAATTTCAACAAATGCTTTTCTCTCTCACGCGGAAGAGAAAACAGAATTTGCGAGATGAATAAGTGCCAGGGCAAGTTCTACGCTGATATAATAAGTATGTTGTTGCAGTTGGTAGTTAGTGCTAGCGGTGAAAGTTGTTTTTATTTATCTTATGTAAACATTCGTATGTGGATTGACGACATCTTTCTTGTGATTGGGTTCACTCAGACCACATGGATCGTGCACCGGCCAATGGGGCCAACGGGAATCACTTTTCTCAAAGTAGTACATTGGTTTACCAGTAGTGTTTCCAAGTAAAGCCTGACCATGATTTTTACCTTTGAATTCTCCAGGTACCTCCTTACACTCTGGTTTATCCGTGACAATTTGTTTGATAAATCTACAATCTAATGTCCCTTCAGTTTTAGTTACAAGATTCCCACTTTTAGGAAGACAAGCAACCCAGTTATTGATGTTTGACTTGATTAAAAATTCACTGCCAATCGTTTTCCAGAAGTCAAAGTCAATGGCGTTCATGTCTGTTTCATTCTGAGGCGGGGTGTCAGAAATAACTGGACCATTTACAAAGTTTTTTGGCGTAGGTTTTATGTAATTGTTGGGGTCTTTAAAAGTACTATACGTGTTGAAATGAAAGGACCAGACCAGTGTCCAGCCTCCTCCGTCTGTTTCCATATCACAATAGCCGAGGAATGGCGCAGGTGAGCTGGGCAACCCCAAGTGAAGCCAATAGCTTCCCGATGGCAATTTTGGGTAGGATTGATTCAATTCCTTACAGTCCTTAACTGGGGATACATTTGATCCTCCAATCCCTGCCCATCTTCCAGTCTTGATGACCTCTGGAAAGGAAAGACTATTGCTAGTTCTTACACTCATATCATTGAAGCCCCTTTGAGTTCCAGATTCTTCAAATMAGATTTCAAATACCACTTTCAAAATACCCGGTATTTTTGGTTTCAACTACACTTTGGGGCCTTTGTATCCCAAATTTTATTCTAGCTCCAAATCCGGAATCCAGRCTAATGCGTTACTGTTACTCAAGTATGTTTCTTTCACACTCTCTGATTATCTGTTTTTGGAGCAATGGCTGAAAGAATCAAAACAAAACCTTGTCTTCCAGAGAAAGTTCCAAAGAAATTCCTTTCCTGTCAGGTACTATTTTTAAGGGATATTAAAATTCTCAAGGATGGTCAACGAGTTGTCTTTCGCATATAACATACTACTTTTTATATATATTTTCCAAGCAAATAGTCTACCTTGTTKTTGWTCRAGGTTGAAAAGGTATGTTGCCTSAACTTCGTCMTTCATCTTGTTCGGATGTGAGACGTGCGAAGCATAGTTCAACTCACACACGCCATCTGAAGGGTAGAAATTCACACTGGAACATTCTTCGTGGCCATTACATTCTGTGTAACACTGGAAATAACTGTGCACATCATTGATAACTTTGAATACAAAGYCTTTCAAGGCTTTGTTCTCGGTGGAAGTGAAAGAATCAAAGAAGATGGGGTCTTGCGAAAGCGCTGAATGCCAAATAACASCAACCAATGTCCAAGAAAAGATACATAGRCAAAAGCGATTTGTGAATTTTGGAAGCACCATGTTGACGATCTGAGAGAAGCATATTTCAGAGATTATAGAGGTCCTTATAGATATTCATAGTATGAAAGAGATTTTCACTACTCTTGTATTAGTCAAAAATTTGGCTTCAATTATTTTTAAAGAGGTCGAAAATTGTAGACGATTAAGTCCTCCAAACGCAATTAGACAAGAAAACACGATTGAAAATAAAACAACATTGAAAGAACAAAGTTCCTCTACTATGAAGCATTTTGACACAAACTTTTTTGCTATTACTTAAGATTTTTTTATGTTTTAACTCGTGCATATACTAAATATTACATGTACTAACCAACAGCATGTCTGCTTTAACTTGAATGGCGTTTAATCACTTATAAGGCCTTCTGAGTCCAAGTCGACACGAAAAGACCTGTAACCAACAAAACTGAAAAAAAGCTTAACACCCTTACGTCAACTTCATTTTCTTTATTAATTCATAAGACCCTATTCTTCGTTGCCAATACAGTAATAGGTGATTAATTGCTTGTTTTTAGAAACACAGTGTTTGGTATTTATCTAAATAATATGGAGAATTCGGGATATTTCTTTAATGTCATTGATTTGTCATGTTCAACATTATTAAGTAAAACTCGCGCAGTTTATCGAAATAGGATACCATCTTCAAGGACAAAGAAAAAAAAGAAAACATATGCATACAGATTGAAATAAAATGAATTTTCACCATAGGGTTGTTATCCTGTATTCGTGTTTACAAATTAAACAAATTAAAACTTTGTTTTTTTTTTGTTTTTTTTTTTTTTTTTTGTTTTTTGTTTTTGTTTTTGTGAAAGAGGAGAAATCACAATATGACAGCTTTTATTTCTATATCCATTTTTAAAGTACATGTAACCCCTGGCAAATGACATTTTTTCCTAAAATTAGGGAGCCTTACAAAAATACAATATCTCAAATACTACAATTTCCATTAAACATATCGTCCAACTAACATTTAAAAAAGTATAAAACAAGCCCATTGAGACAGCTGAAACGTTCCCACATTACTTAAAGACAATACGAGCCTCGAACCGCTTAAAGTTTAAATTGATTGAGGCATTTACTAAATTCGATACTACATCGAAAATATTTTTTAGTGCTTTCTTTGGTTTGTGGTTCTATGATGGCCGTCTTTGCGCAAGAGAGTCTGTAAAGCGGTTTGAACTCGCTTTGAAAGGGAAATAAAGGGAAATTAAAGAGGTTTACTCTTTACTTAAATAATATGGTTTCAGTGCTTCAGTGAATGTCAGAATGCTTAAGAAATTGTTCATTGAGGRATAGGCTCTGACCCTTTCCTAAAACTTCTGAAAAGTTGAACCAGACAGTTGAACCAGCATTTCCCTCTTTGTCATTTTATTTCTCCTTTGTCAACATGTTATACAAGTGCTTTTCTAAGACATTCAAAAGTTAAATAAAATTGTGAGTGGCTTTCATTTGCTTTTTCACCAATTCTGTGCAAGTAGAACGTGTATTTTTTTTTCCGCTATGTCGTAATGGCTTCTTTTAATTAATTATAAATAACATATCCGATTATTTCCCTTTTTATCAGTTCCTTTTTCAAAGGTTAAATTAGAGTATTTGTGAGTGGCTTTTTGAAGAATTATTCATGTGCCTTTTCACCAATTTTGTGCAAATAGAACGTGTATTTTTTTTTTTTTTGCTATGTCGTAATGGCTGCTGTTCATTGATTATAACTAACATGTCCGATGATTTGCCTTTCTTTATCAGTTCCTTTTTCAAAGGTTAAAATAGTGTATTTGTAAGTGGCTTTTTAAAGAACTGTTCGTGTGCCTTTCCACCAATTCTGTGGAAATAGAATGTGCAGAATGTGCATATTTTTTGGCTGTTGTTGCTATTAATTGAGTCCTAGTCCGGGACCTAAAATCGCCKTAATTTTGGGCGATTGTAGGCGATTTTAAGCGATTTTAGTCGATTTAAGCAAAAATCACCAAAAACCCATCTAAATCTAAGGCGAYTTACTACAATTTTGGGCGATTTACTGCGATTTTGCGATTTTAGGCGATTTTAGGCAATTTTAGGTCCCGGACTGGGCCTTAATTGTTCCTTTTTCTTAGATAGACATTCGTGTGTGGATTGTCAACATTTTTCTTGTGGTTGAGTGAATTCGTTGCGCACGGATCATGTGTTGGCCAGGTATCATCATTTCTATATTCAAAGTAATACATTGCAGCTCTGTTTTTGCCATYTGGTTTTGTGCCTCGCAATAAAATGCCATTTCTCATGAGCAGATCATCTGGAACCACATTTTTACAATTTTCTTGGTCAAAGACGATTTGCTTTACTGATTGGCAMTTTAAGCCACCTTCTTTCTTTGTCACAAGACTGCCACCATTAGGAAGACAGGCAACCCAATTATTGATATTTGACTTGACCAGGAACTCGTCACCAATATCTTTCCAGATAGTAAAGTCAATGGCGTTCATGTCYGTTTCATTTTTAGGTGGGATGTTGGATTCTTCTAAAGCATTGCTGTACATGTTTGTTGGTACTGGTTTGACATAGTTAGTCTTATCTWTAAAGTWTTGATAGTTATTGAATGTAAAGGACCAGACCAGTGTCCAGCCTCCTCCGGTAGTTTCCATGTCGCAATAGCTTGGGAATGGGCCGTTACCAAGGTCCAGCCAGTAGCTACCGGATGGCAATTGCGGGTGGGTTTTCCTTAGAATTTTACACGTTTTTGCAATTGGCGGCAAATTGGCTGTTCTTGCTATATCTTGAAATATAGTTATTTTCGATCAATTATTAGGTAATGATTTCAGTGTCAGAGATTTTCTTCCTAATTAACCCTAAACCTAACCCTATGCTATATCTTGAAATATAGTTATTTTCGATCAATTATTAGGTAATGATTTCAGTGTCAGAGATTTTCTTCCTAATAGTCCCCTTCACGGTTACCTGCGCCATCTTGAAAGGTGGCCGTGGCTTGTCATCGAAGCGAGACAACCGTTGAGCATGCAATGATAGAAACCTTCTTTCACACCTATAGACAATTCACAGGTATCTATCATTGCACGCTCAACGGTCGTCTCGCTTCGATGCAAAGGCACGGCTACCTTTCAAGATGGCGAAGGTATCCGTGAAGGAGACTATTGCCAGAATTGTTGGATTTTTATGGAATAAATACCTGATCAGCAGCCTTCTTTTGCGTCTTTACAAACAATGTTATGTTATGTTATCTATGAGGCTTTTCGACATGAATTGGCTTAAAAAATATTTATTTATTTATTTCCCTTAAAACAAAGGATACCGTTAACGAAAAAGCATTATACTTTTTTGTCCAACAGGCCAAAATATAGTTTATGATGCATAGTATATATTAATGTATAGAGCAGATTTAGTATGACTGTGCAACGAAACAGATCACGGCAAGGACACGGCACGGCACGGTCACGGAAACTCGCCTTCTAGGATTCCAAATAAAGATAAAGATTTAACAGTACATCACCGCTACGGCACGGTACGGTCACAGCGCGAAAGTACCGTGTTTTTTGCACAGTCATACGAAATCCGCTCTAGATCGGTAAAGTACTCTCTATACCTTCTCTTCGGGCGAGGTTGAAAAGMTACGTTGCTCCCTCTTCGTTGGTCAGGTTGTGTGAAACATGTGAAACATAGTTCAGCTCACAGCGACCATTTGAGAGGTAGAAGTTAACACTTAAGCATTTTTTGTGTTCATCGCATTCCTTGTAACACAGAAAATAGCTGTGTACATCATTGATGACTTTAAGTGTAAAGCCCTTKAGGGATTTCTTCTCGACGGAATTKAACGATTCGAAAAGAAACTGCTCTTGCGAATACGCTGGATAGCATAAAAAGATAATAAACAGAACGATTCTGTGCATTTTCTCAAATGATGTTCACTGTTTTTTASCACCTATAATAAGAGGGCTCAAAAACCAAATGGAAGCCGATATCCAAAAGATGCACAATGCGAGAGTTACATAATGATCCCCGCTACGGTTTATATCTGTTTACTAAAAACATACATAAGCCTTCACACCATGTGTTCCTTCATTTGATTATCCTCAACTTTAGTTTTTTAAAGTCCATTTTAATAATTAATTAGCAGAAATGAGGAAAAACTGTTTATTTGTGAGGAGAAACGGAATGTTTACTTCATTCGGGTTGAAGTTCATCAGCATTTCTATAAGAGATAAATACGTGATAACATTTTTTGGATCATGACTTAAAATTAGTCCCTTGAAGCACTGGACGTCCTTGGCTTRGGCAATTTTTTCTCATTTCATACGCGTGAGAATCTCTTAAGCAATTACAATACTTATTTTTCTTCCAAACTTTATTTTCTTTATTGACACAGCAAGACGCAGTGGAGAACTAAGTTTATTAACTTAACCAGTAGTATATCGATAGAGTTAACAATAACTTGGAAATCACTGTTGTGTAGTGTCACGAAAGAATTGAATAAGAATTACATTCACACCTTACATGCAATATAAAGGCACGTAACGTGTTATGAAGTGTGATTTATTTATTTTATTTTAATTTATTTTTTTTCTATATCTGGTGCTTGCTGCCTACAGCCAGCTTAATTATACCATATAATCTAGAAAATGAAAGAAATACTTCATATTGTTCAAACCCACCCAAATTAACAAGTTTATCAACAGAAACGATGTTCCATATTCATCATTCAAAGTAATACAGGTCGAAAAAGCTTATACACATAGTTTATAGATATATTTTTTCAGTAGATTTAGCCGATATTCCAACCAGATAAACTGACCAGGGTAAATATCATATTGTGTGCAYTTGTGGATTTATGTATAGTTTAAAACACGAGAGAGAGTGTTTTAAACGGCTTCAAAAACTCCAACACTAATTTGAAACTCAAATMCGTTGAAATTCTTGGAGAAATTGTCGTAAAAATAAATTTTGAGATAAATCGGACAAACTGATCATGCGCGAATCACTTTACAAAGCACTCTTGTCAACCCACATTGAATACGCATAACGTAAAATTGAACCGCTATTGGCTGTTTACTGCATTGGGTTGACATCCTGCATTGGTCAATCGGTATCAAACCTGAGACCTTTACTAGGGTCATGAACCAGCTTTATATCTGATAAAGGTCACCCTTATTAGTATTCTTTATATAAAGAATACTAATAAGGAGTGTTTTATCAGATATAAAGATCCATGCATGTGACCAAATAGGCTCATTCTATTGGCCTAATAACTCATTAATTATGTTTGAGTTTGTGAATGAATCTTTACTAGAAAAGCATGCATCTTTGTATGACAAGAAGAAATCTCGTATCAAAATTTCTTMAAAATGCAATTGTATCACCAAATCAAAGGTCGAATACCCATGATTTTATGTAATATAGATATTTTCCAAAAACAATCAAGCTAAACTCAAAGAAGAGCGCTTATATTGTTTGTGTGTAGCTCTTTCTTATCTTCAGTGCTGAAAGTTAAGGTATCTGGACACAGTTGTTTAGAACTCTGACTGGGACGAAAGAAACGGGTAATAAAGTAATTTAAGTTGGTCAAATCGTAATAATATTTTACTAAATGATTAACGAGGGATTTAAATATATTGAGTACATTTTTGGAAAATCGGATTTAATTTATGCATGCGTTTTATGGGGAAATCCAGGAAAATGCTTTTACAGATATTTCAAACGAATTAAGCCTATTTTTTCCGCGATATCTCAGGGACATAATATTAGAGGTAGTGCCTAACGATTACTAAARKTTGGTGGAAATTCATCAACTGYATCCAGATACCTTAAYTCGACTAAARTTGTTTCTCCAATCAATAGTATRAACGTTATTTAYCTTAGATAAATATTGGTGTGTGGATTTTCAACATTTTTCTTCTGGTTCAATTTATTTTGTCCGCACGGATCATGGGTCGGTTTGAAATTTCTAGGATTAATATCAAAGAAATACATAGCTCTTCCCCCATCTTCAGTTTCCTTTAAACGAATGCCATGATCAGTTAATTCTAGCTCTCCTGGAACATTCCTGCATTGTGGYTCAAAAACAATTTGTCTAATRAATCGACAATCTAAGCTMCCAGCTTTCTTTGTAACAAGACTCCCAACGTTAGGAACACAGGCAACCCAGTTATTGATATTTGACTTGACCAGGAATTCGCTGCCAATCGTTTCCCAGRTGGTAWAATCRATCGCATTCATATCAGTTTCATTTTTAGGTGGAGTGCTAGATTCTTCTAAAGCATTGMTATGCATGTTTCTTGGCACTGGTTTGACAAAATTTTTGTCATTTCCAAAGTCTTTATAGTTATTGAATGTCATGGACCAAACCAGTGTCCAGCCTCCTCCGTCGGTTTCCATATCACAGTAGCTTAGGAAAGGTCCGTTCCCCAGGTCCAGCCAGTAGTTACCAGTTGACAAGTGCGGGTGTGAGTCCCCTAGACTTTTACACGTTTTAGCAATTGGCGGCAAATTGGCTGTTCTTGCTATATCTGGAAATGTAAAAAGTCGGTAGTTATTTTCGATCAATTATTAGGTAGACGTTGAAATGCTTTCGTATGATATCAAAATCATAAAATCGATAATTAAAAAAAGTCCAAACGAAGGTCCCCTGATACCTTAATTCTAAAACGTTTGTATGACAAAAGAATATTTATATTACGGGCACCTGTTGTACCAAAGGTCTTATAAAGATAATCGTATAGGTTTCGTCCGAATGTCTTATTCGAGTATTAATTAATTGTACAGCTGACTTGATAAAGTATTTTTATAAAAATTAAACAAATA